AGAAAATCCTGGATAGCCTCGAATCACTGGAGATCCTGAGCCCAATCAGGTGTTCATATCTTCGAACAAAAACTAAGGAAACGATTACAGGTATCGTGGTCGAGTTCAGCCAGAGCGTAGCAGTATAGCACTGTCTTGCTCAGGCGAATATAATCATGAGATGGAAGTATGTCACAGGTGCAGTCCCCGACATTCCCCTCCATGTCAGAAATTCTGACAAAAAACCTGGTGGCCTAAAAATAGATGAGAAACTGCAAATGCGTGCCACAGTCAATCTCACGCGTCTGGATATTGAGAGGGTACCACAAATCTTCTCTCCCAAAAAGAACAAGAATCTACGCTTTGCCACACTAGTCGCCAGCACTCCCAACGCAAGCTTCGTCGACATAACCACGGATGAACCAACCATAATCGGGATCCTCAAGCGCAAGTCATTATCATCTATGAAACTAGCCCACGCTCCAGCGAAGGAGATCAAAGGCCCAATCAAGGTGCCCAACTTTCGACCAATAACTGGGATCAAGGGAATACTTGGTAATCCACCGCCTAGGGCAATTCCCCCAGCTCATACCCCGGCGCAAACTAAATCTTATTTCATTAAAAAACTACGCCAAAACCCGAATTGTTTGCAAGTGTCGCCAGGTCGCTCCCACAGCGAACGCCAAGACAGGACTGTAAGAAGTAAGACGCCCCCTTTTCTTCCCCCAATAGACCGCTCTCGCCCACCAGACAGAATGAAACCCCACAAAACTGACAAGTCAACCTCGCCAGCACGCAACATGGACGGCAAACACATGGCACCACCCTCCAAGAAGCTCTCACGGGTGTCACGACCCCCTCCGAGCATAAAGGCCGAAATACCACTCCAAAATTCTCCCAAGTCCCCTACCATTCTACTAGACCTGCTGAAATACACAATGAGCAGGTGCTGAAGTGTGTATCAACCAAATGCCTCAGTTTAACTAATAAAATCCTCGAGGTGCGACCATTTGCGCGCGATAAGAAGCCACACGTAATAGCCCTAACGGAGACGTGGCTAATTCCAGAGATACTAGATGGTGAAATAATGATAGATAGTTTCACCTTGTTCACACAAGACTCAAACCGTGGCCATGCGGGCGGAGTGGCTCTCTTCCTTAATGTATCCCTCACACCTGCTTTGCATGTTTCCCTTCCTACTATTCAATTGATCGAGACCCTATGGGTCAATATCGTCTTCCCGAGCAGGGGTTCACTCCTCATGGGGGTTGTTTATCGCTCCCCATCAAGCACACAGGAGGAATGTCCATCACTTCTAACTCAACGTCGCAACCTCTGTCCCACCTGCATTTTCTTACACCTCATCCTGGGAGATTTCAACTCCCCAACTTCGACTGGTCCAGATGAAACTCCAGAGATAGAATTTTTTGTGCACCCCCTTATAAACCTCTTCAACGAACACTCGTGGTACCAACACGTAGTATCTCTCACGAGATACCGTGTCGACCAACGCCCCTCTTTCCTTGATCTTGGGATTANAGTGGTCACCTCCTGCTTTCCTTTGAATATATTAGTCGCTGGCCAACTTGCAAGCCTTCTTCCAGAATGCTACGTTCCTTCAAAAGGGCCGATGTTGTTCTCTTACGAGAATTCCTGGCCAAAAAGCTGGGCTCCTACAATATTGATACTGACCCGAACAATCTAAATGAGATGCTCGAGAGTCTAATTCACGAAGCGGACCACCTGCTTATTCCTAGAGTTCAATCTGTATCTGCCCATACACCTCCCCTACCCCACTCCATTCGGCACCTGATGGACCAGCGGGCGCGTTCACTTGCTAAACTAAAATGTACTGAACTCAACGCTGATGCTGTCGAGTTCAAGCGAATCCGCAACTTATGTAAACAGAGAGTTAGGGAATTC